AAGCTTGGAAAGCTTTAGAGAGACAACAATGGAGGACAGAGAGAGAAGGCGGCTTTAGGGCATATTGCAAAGGTAATGCACAAGTTGGCGAGTCTTGAGATCCTCTGAAGTTGAGGGAAGTCCTCCTTTTATGGCTACAAACTCTTGTTTTTCAATTAAGGCTAATTTCCTTTTCTTGAATAGAGTTGACTTTCTGATTGTATTTTTATTCAACTTTTCTTGTAGACTTCGTATCTTCTGAGATTTAGACCTCCTTTGGTGCGATCTAGAGCTTTCTCAAAATCCCAGAATGGAAGATTCTAAGGATATTTCTCAGAGCAGTCAACTCCTCTGCTTTGTTGAGCAGTCGCAGTTGACTCTAGATGTTGCTGACGATTTGGGCTGATCTTGAATCTAGGTCTTCTTCTAATTGTCTTTGGTTGCTCAATATGCTTGATGGTCTTCTTAGCTATTGAATCCTTCTGAGAGGCCCTTTTGGATGATGGTTTTCAAGTCTAGTCTACTCGAGTTAGAACGTGTACAGTTACGATTGAGTGATGAAATTTGACCCAAATAGTTTTTAATAGACACCTATTATAGAGTATTCATATATAAGTGTTATGTTAATATGTTAATGTTTAATGGTGCTACAATGTTTGGGAAAAAAAAAGCAAATATGAAAAATTACCTTAAGTTTTCAATCCGCCCAAACTAGAGTGGAAATTGAAGCGAATTTTAAATACAAGGTTTTTTTTTTTTTAGGTTGTATATGGGAGAGTATAATTTCCCTTAAATGAAAAAGTATTGACGGCTCATATGTTGGAGTACAGAATTTTGCTGTTTGTGTTTCATCGTGACACAAAAGTGCATATATTACAATCAGACAAGGATGTTCTTCGATTATTCCACAATAAAATAATATGAAAAGAACAATTGAGAGCTCAATTTTAAAAAGAAAAAAAATCTAAGAATATAAGAATCACAAATGCGGCTTAGAATATTCTTGTCTTTAAAAATATTCTAATGCTACCAACATTGAAAGGCACGGAGCTCACATAAATATACATAATATATATAGGTGTGGTTTTAATGGAACCATATTAATATTTGTCTATTAGTAAGTATCTTCATTTTACTAAATTCAACTCTTTTTCTACTATATTATTACAACCTAACTATTAAAAACTTGTCTCCGACTCCTCATATATATAGTGTAGTTTTAATAATTATTCTAATATTTACTCATCAATAAATATTATTATTTTAGCCATAAGATATTAATTTGACGGTTATAATAAATTAAATAGTTGACTAAAAAGATTAATGACAATTAATAAAATTAAATTTTTATCACGACACGTCATTAAATTTATATATTTAAAAGTGACTATATATGAAAACATAACCATTAAAAGCGCATCCTTATAAAGATATATGTATTGTTTAAGTTCTTTTGATCATACTTTTTCGTGTTACTTAAATAGAGATGTAAATTATATTTTGTGACAGATAAATAATATAATAGGCAAATAAGTCAGTATTACATGTTATGCTTGTCATTTTTATATGTTATAATAAAAGTTTCTTAAAAAATGATAGCAATACCTTATATATATATATGTTTATTATAACCGTGTATATATATATATATATAACGTTATACGGGTATTAATTGTGATAAGTCAACCATATAATTTATTATAATCGTATAAATATATTAATTATGTAGTTGATTAAAAAAATTAAGACAATTAATATCCGTATAAGGTTATATTAATATATAACCATGTATATATATATATAAATTATATAATTGACTACAAAAATTTACGATAATTAATGGAACTGAATTTTACACCACGTCATCAAATTTATATATTTAATTATAACCATTGATTAAAATGTAACCATTAAAAGCTCATTTGATATATATATATAGAAAGCATTTCAACTTTCTAAAAGTTGCACAAAAATTATTTCTTTTTGACCCCTTTTTCGCAAGGTCCATTGTTGAACCAATCTAATGCGATCTTACTTGGCCTCTTTTATTTTTCCAAATTTGCCGATAAAATGTTCTGAGAAGGATTATAATCTCCCGATATTTCCATTAAAAAGTAAGACGCACACAAACATTTCAAAAAATTAACAGAAGACATTCTCATTTTTTTGTCAACTAATTTTTTAACGCGATCAACATGTATTGTCATGTTAGAGATACCTAAAGAGTTTATTATTTACTAAATAATGAAAAATTTATTTATACAAAGGATTTTTGAATTTATTTAAAAAAGAGTACGCATAAAGATAACATTTGAAATGATAGGAATTATAAAAAGAAAGACCAATTAAGTAGAGATACATTTTTAAAAAATTATTTTAACCATCGATAAAAAATAAAATAAGAATACATGCGAAAAAATTACATTTATGGTCATTAGATTAGATTAAATTAAATTAGATTAAATATATTATTATATATAAATTATTGATTATAGATTATATATTATAAATTAGATTGAAAATTTATAACGGGCAACATGAAATTGCTCACATTTCAGATTAGACTATTGAAAAGGTAATTTAATAGCTAAAACATTAGCTTCAATCGGTCGAATAAAAATGCATGTCTTATTATAAGTTTTGCTCAAAAAATAATTACAATGTGAAGGTGATTTTGATAAAAATAAAAATAAAGAGTTGACTTTTTTATGTATGTTATATAGATTATGTAGATTATAATTATAGATTATAAATTAAATTTCTCCATAACGTTAGTGGAATTAGTAGTATATATATTTCTATTTATTACTTTTTAGTAGAAGAAGTCCGGAAACAAAAAAGAAAAAAAGTAATAATAATAAAATTGAAAAAGCTAACATCTGACTAGTATGAAAGGTGGAGCTGGGCTCTCATTTGTCAAATGTCAAAGTGGAAATGTAATTTCTTTTTAAAGGTTTATTTATTTATTTATTTTTTATTAATGTTTCTTTTTAAGTTGGGAGAAGAGGATTGATAGAAACTCATATGGCTTTAATAGGTGCCACGTGTACTACAATGAACTATGGCCCCACCTCTCTTTGTTACCGGACATATCAGTTGCAGTCGACACAAAAGTCAGTGGAGCTTTGTCTTCGTGGAATCCGCACGTGCCGGTAGCCGGTGATCCCTATTGTCCCCATTATTTTTCTAGTTTTATTTACTAAAGGAAATTAGGAATAAAACAGTATTACATTGAGACCACTGACTTTCTATGATATTACACTAACACCCTTGACTTGAAAATCTTTACACCAACACCCTTCTATAAGTTAAAAGTAATGCAGTAACAAGAAAAGAAAAAAAAGAAAGTAATGGAAGTTATTTTTTTACTATTAATTTTTTTTATTTTTATAAAATAATAAAATTACACTTGTAATGGTAACATCCCTGAAACAAAAATCAAATGTCATTTTTAAATACCTCTTCATAGGCTTATTATTTTTTTCTGTTATTATTGTTACTACATGATTTTCATTCTTTTTATTCTCATTAAAATTCATTAAAAATCATAAATAAGCTGAGGGCTCGTTTAGTTCACTGATTCGAGTTGAGATGTGATTTTATGTGAGAGATTTCTACTGTAGTAAAAAAGTTAGATGTGACTGTTTCTGAGAGTTTTTTACTATAATAAAACTCAAATTCTAATCGGTGAAATGAACGAGACCTCAAGATAACTCAGGCATAAGTAAACTTTAGTAATGAATATGTATTATGTAGTAATAAGATGTGAGTCATCATTTTTAAGAAAATTAAGGGTGTGTTTGGAGTTGTTTTTGTTTTTGTTTTTCACGTTTTTTTGAGAAAAAATGAAAACAGGAGAGAAACATTGTTTGTCACAATTAATGATAAAAAACATAAATGAAAAGGATTTTTTAGTTTAGTGTAAAATATGAGAGAAATGAAAAATGACTTTTAGGGCGCGTTTGAAACTCGTTCCAAAATGATTTTATTTTTTGTATGAAAATGAAAATGAAAACATTTTCAATCTTAGACATAAATCATTTTTGAAAATGTATTTGGTAGTTTTATCAAGAGATTATTTTCAATATATAAAAACCCATTAATGTGTGTGTGTCTCTCTCTCTGCTTGTTAGAAGAGAAAATGAAAACAAAAAATGAAAAATGACTAAAAGTCATTTTTCATTTCTCTCTTATTTTACACTAAACTAAAAAATCATTTTCATTTCAGTTTTTTGTCTTTATTGCGCCAAACGCTGTTTTAAAAACGTTTTTATTTTTTTTCTCGAAAAACGTGAAAAACAAAAACAGAATTAATTCCAAAACGGCCTTAGTCGTTTTTCATTTTTGTTTTCATTTTCTCCTCCTCTAGCAGAGAAAGAGACATTAATGAATTTTTTTATATTGAAAACAATCTCTTGATAAAACTACCAAACGCATTTTCAAAAATAATTTTTGTCTGAGATTGAAAATGTTTTCATTTCCATTTTCATACAAAAAATAAAATCATTTTGGAACGAATTTCAAACGCACTCTAAATATTTCAACTTCTTTTTGATAATTTAAGGCTCCATTCATTTCACCGATTCGAGTTTTGCTATTGTAAAAAGCTCTTAGAAACAGTCACATCTAACGTTTTTGTTACAGTAAAAAATTTTCATATAAAGTCACATCTCAACTCAAATTAAAAACTTAAATCAACGACTAAACGGCCCTAACACCTTTTTTTTTTTCACAACATATACTTTCATTCCTCTTAAAAAAAAGAACTCAGGAAAAAATTGTCACTCTAATGTAATAATGACAAAATACAAGGACATCAACATAATTTTACCCCTAAAAAATGGAAAAGAAATTATTTAAAAAAAAAAAGAAAAGGGGAAAAAAAACAGAGAAAAGTCCCCAATCCCAATTCCCAATCTCTCTCTCACACATCTGTCTGTCATATAAAAACAAGAAGAAGCAAGAAACAAAAACTGTCCTCAGCGACGACTTCCATTTCTCTCTCTCTGTTTTTCTTCCATTTCTTGTCACCAAAGAAAAGTTTTAGAGAGAGAAAGAGAAAATCCTCTTTCTATATCTCTCTATAAATTCACTCCAGAGAAAGATAAAGGGAGAAGAGAGTATTTGGAGCTTTTGCGTTTCGAATTCTCATTCTCTTCGGTTTCGGTTCCGTTCTGATCGCTTTCTTCGAGAACTATGCATCTCTACAATGCGTGGCTTCCGCCGCCGGTCGCCGGCGAGACTCGCCGGGAGAAGGAGTCGTTCTCCCGCGTCGTTGCCTCCGTCAGGAGCTCTTACCGCTCCGACGACCCCGATTCCGTCTACTCCACGCTCAAATGGGTCTCTGTCGTCGACCTGTTCGTCTTCTCTCTCTATTTTTCCTTCAATTTCATTAATGTTATTACCGAAAGTTTCGTTTTTTTTTTAAATTTCTTGTGATTTTGATTTGTGAAGGGGTTTTGAGGGGTTTTGTGTTGGTTTCTTTTAGCTCCAGATGGGGTTTTTGATGGAATTGTTTAGGTTTAAATTCTTAATTGGATCTAATTATGGTTAATTGTGCAAATTAAGTACTAAGCTAGTTGTGAAAATCAAAATGCTGTCTTTTTTTGTGGTTTTTTGATTCAAGTGGTATACTATATTGTTAGATGATATGTATATTATCCTGGATGAAAGAGACATTAATAGTTTCAACTGGCAAGAATTATGCTGAAATTTTGTTCATTTAGGAGCATGGTCTATACTCTTAACCCCCTTTTTACTCTCTTTCTAACTTAAATTGTTTATGTTTCTTCAAGCTCTTTTTATTTTATTTTTATTTTTTTAAATTTATAGTTTATTTTTTTAAATTTTTTTTCCAATTTTGATTTGCGGAGTTTTATGTTTTTTCAAGCTCTCTCTCTTTTTTTTTTTTTTTTTTTTTTTTTTTTTTTTAATTTATAGTAATTTTTTTTTTCAATTTTGATTTGTGGAGTTCTGGGGTTCTATCGAGTTTGAGCTTGAGATGGGTTGTTGATCTCTTATAGGAATTCTAGTTATAGGTTTTTTGGTTTAGGAGGATTAAATGGGTCTAGTTGTGCTTAATTCTGTAAATTAAATAGTAAACGAGTAGCAAAAAATTTTTCTGTTTGGTCTTTCACTATAAGTGGTTTGTTGTTAGATGACATTGCCATGATGTGGCAGTTCATATTATAGTGGACGGACAGAATTATTTCAAGAATTAAGCTGAAATTATGTTCATTTAAAAGCATGCCATTTAGTACTTGAGCTGAAATGCAAGGATGGAATTGATGCTTATCAAGCAACGTTTAGCTAACGCTGAAGTTAAGAGTCGATTTCCTCACTAGAGTAGCCCAACTAGACTTCTAACTTTTGTGACATTCCACGGTGCTATTTGGTTTCAGTGCTAGTTATGTCATAGTAATGGGACTGCAACTATTGGAGTTTGTGGCTTGCAGTCCCATCCTATTTGGACCTTTACATGACTTGGGTGGTAGGTGAAAGTTGACCAAGATGCGAGGTGAAGTCAATGAAACAACGGTGAAGCCTTTTTTTTTTTGTTTTTTGGGACAATATGGAAAGCATAGGAAGTTCTTTTTTTTTTTTTTTTTTTTTTTTTTTTTTTTTTTTTTTTTTTGGGAAAAATTGGAAAGAAAGGAAGTTTTTTTTTTTTTTTTTTTTTTTTTTTTTAATTGAATGTGGGCATAGAATAATTTTCTATATTACAAATTTTCTTAGTGATCGGATGTAGAGCTATAATTTTACAAAAATTTTGTTATAAAAGTCATTATTTTAGTTTCTCATTGGGGGCACTTGACTTGATATGTATGTAGCTTTTCCCTGCATTGCAATAATGCGTCTAAATAACTAACTTACCTTGGATGTAATATTGTTCTATACTTTGAAGTCTTGGTTAGAATAGGTGTTAGATCATAGTGAATGGTTATTTTTTGTGCTTGGTCTCATCTTATAGACGGTCAGACAGGTGTACCTATTTATTATATGCCTCATATGCAGTTTCATAAAGGCAAAAAGTGAAGTATCTTTGGAAGATGTGAATGCTATTAGCGAGGTTGGGTTAGAATTGTTCCACATGTCAGAAAACAAGCTTTATGCCCAGGTTATGCCTTGTATTTGAGATAATTATTCTTAACGCACATTTTACTATCATTCCTCTTCATTTCCTGAATGCTGGTTCTGTTTGTATGAATAGGTTAGATGGGGAAATGTTCTGATTAGAATACTCAATAAGTACCGAAAGAAATTGTCATTGAAAGTTCAGTGGCGGCCATTCTATGATACTCTGGTACACACACATTTCACCAGGTGAGTTTTACATTTGCAGCTTCCATTTGCATTCATGTGGGTTTACATAGATTACTTGTTTTCTATATATGCAGTCTTTGTTTATGTGTGTATATTGGCATATGTGAACCTTATGAGATTTATTTATTTTTAAATTTTTGTTGCTATTGCGCTTCACGTCATAAATTTTCTGAAATTTTTGGTTTACTACAAATTTACCTTTTCTGGCCGTCCATGGATAACTTAGTGATTTACAATAAATTGTGTCACAACACGTAATAATTTGCAAATGTCATGAACACCAACTTTTTTTGCGAGTAAATGGTATAGGAATACTGGACCAGAAGGATGGAGACTCAGACAACGGCATTTTGAGACTATTACTTCTCTTGTTCGGTCCTGTAGGAGGTTCTTCCCACCAGGTTCTGCACGCGAGATATGGTCTGAGTTTAGGTATGTGTGCTTTGAGGGCTTCCCTTCTTCAATTTTGTCAATGTGTAAGAAAGTATCTCTAGGGAATTCATGCAGTTCCACCTGGTTTCAGTTACATCTGTGTATATTTAGTTGACATTTTCTGTATCTATGACTTATTGCTTGTTGTACCATTTATCTTTTGTGTTTTTTTTTTAAAGAAATAGGTAGACGGAATGAAACACAATTCGTAAGTTGGTGATGATTAACAAGCATGGATGTTTCACTCTTTGAATGTTATAGCAACCTTTCTGATAAACCAAAAAATGCAGATCTTTATTGGAGAATCCATGGCATAATTCATCCTTTGAGGGATCGGGGTTTGTGAGGCTCTTTCTTCCAACGAACTCGGACAACCAAGAGTTCTTTTCAGAGTAGGAGCATATGTTATCAGAACTCTCTCTTCATAATTTTGTCAATGAAATATTGGGCGAAAATTAACTTCCTACTTGGACTGCAGGGACTGGGTTAAGGAGTGTATTGCCGTGTGGGAGTCTACACCAAATTGCCAATTTTGGAACAGTCAGTGGGCAGCCATTATAGCTCGTGTCATAAAGAACTACAACCATATCGATTGGGAGCCATTCTTACTCATGCTTTTCACTAGATATTTAAATATGTTTGAGGTGATTCGATTGTATGAACCTTTAGAGTAGCTTGGTTTTCACCTCGAGTATTTTAGTTCACTGTGATTTGCTACCGCATTTCATGAAAAAGTGCTAGTCAATAGACATGTGTGATATATACATACTCAAGCTCACTCAAAATGACAGGTTCCAGTGGCAAATGGAAGTGGATCATACCCTTTCTCTGTTGATGTCCCCAGAAACACAAGGTTTTTGTTTTCCAATAAAACAATGACCCCAGCAAAGGCCATTGCAAAGTCAATTGTAAGATATTCATTATGCCACTGCTTCCACTCTGTGGTGTTTATAACCTGTATCCTTGCATATGGTCATTTCTATTTCCATAACGTCCTTTTGCAAAATTGCAGGTTTTCTTATTGAAACCCGGTGGCTCAACACAGGAACACTTTGAGAAATTGGTCAACCTCTTAGAACAGTTTGTATACTTGCATGTTGATACTATTTTTCTTATAGTTACAGTGTTTTTCTTCTTTACTCAAAAGATTTTTAAGTTTGTTTATTGTTGTAGGTACTATCATCCCTCTAATGGTGGTCGATGGACCTATTCATTAGAGCGCTTTTTGCTGCATCTTGTAATATCATTCCAGAAACGTCTACAGCATGAACAATTGTAAGAATATGTCTGCATTATGCGAGAACTGTTATGCTTAAGCATATTTTGTGGTTCTTCTAAAATTATTTTTGGCACAGGAACACACGTGCAAACAATCTAGGAAGATCAGAAAGGACTTCCTTTGTCAATGTGCTGCTAAAGTTGATTGATCGTGGCCAGTATAGCAAAAATGAACATCTTTCTGAGACGGTTGCTGCGGCGACTTCGATTTTGTCATATGTTGAGCCTTTTTTAGTCCTTCCTTTTGTTGCATCTCGGTTCCATATGGCCTTAGAAACGGTTAGTCAATTTTCATACATTTCGTGGTTTTCCTCTCAAAGTATACACAATTTTATCTTGACCAATATGGTTTTGCCAAGAAGTCCACATCAGCTTATGAGAAAGTAGTTCATTCTTATAAATGGAACCTGTTTCTTTGGAATAACTTCTCTTTACCAACTTTGTGTCTAGTCAGATGACTGCCACCCATCAACTAAAAATTGCTGTGATGTCAGTAGCATTTGTCGGGCGTTCACTATTTCTCACGTCCCTGTCAGCTTCTGCAGTAAAACCTGTTGATGTTGGTGGTGATGGTGAGGAATTCATTGATCTTATGATGGTTTCTCTCTCCAATGCATTGCTTGGTATGGACGCCAATGATCCTCCTAAAACCTTGGCAACCATGCAATTAATTGGTTCTGTGGTTTCCAATGTAAGTACACAATTTCCACAAGCACCTCTAATGATAGTTCGTGCATATAAATTTTACATATGAGCTTAATTTTTGCAGTTGGCTTCTTTGAATGACAATATCGGTGAGCTACCCTTCATGCCTGTGATTCGCTTTTCTGAATGGCTGGATGAGTTCTTGTGCCGCCTATTTTCCTTGCTTCTACACTTGGAGCCGAGCAGTGTCATGTAAGTAATGAAATCATCTTCCTGCATTCTCTTTCTTACAGCCATTTACTGATTTAGTTCTTAGTTAAACTTTAGAATTTTTAGCTCTTGTGCCCCCTGAATTCCGTTGGGTTTGGTGTGTCCCTAGTTTTTATCCTAGTCAATTTAGTCCTTGAATTTACAAAATAGTAGCAACTACCGTCAATTGTAATAGTATGTTAAAATTTTAAAAGAAATAACTACAACTTTTAGTACCTACCCTGCCCTAAACTTCTCATAATTTGGCACTTCCATCTGTGGCTAGTTATCTTTTTTTGGTAATTTAGTACCTGAAGTTGTCATAGAATTCCCTAAAATTTAACTCCCGTTAATAATTGGAGTTAATTGCTTCTATCTTGGAAATTCAAGGACTGAATTGTGAGAAAAGAAAGTCCAGTGACAAAAGAGCTTAACCACAAAAAGTCCAATGAGCACAAGTGTTAAAACCCTTAATTTCATATGGGAGTAGTTCTCCTCTTCCCTCTTTGGTGAAAGTTAACTGGTCACTGATGCTGCAGAAATGAAGGTCTACATTCATCAGCAACATCAGGAACTTTTCTGGTTGAGGACGGTCCATACTATTACTGCATGCTTGAGATCTTGTTTGGAAGACTTTCACAACCATTGTTTAATCAGGTCTCTGTTCTTGTTCTTGCCTGTTGGCTTCAATTTCTCAGTGAAGCTCTTCTTTGGTATTACATTTTTGGCGAAGACATTATTCTAAGCTTTTCTTAATATCAAAGTGCAGGCCTTGAAGAAGATTTCCAAGTTTGTTAGAACCAATATTCTTCCTGGGGCAATTGCAGAGGTTGGACTGCTTTGTTGTGCATGTGTTCATACAAATCCGGAAGAGGCAGTCACTCACCTTGTTGAGCCAACTTTGTTGTCTGTAATGTCGTCTTTAAAAGGGATACCCGTTACTGGATTTGGTGGAAGAGGAGTATCAGATTCATCTACTTCAACCAAGGTACATTCTCGTGTTATTACTTATAATGTTTTATGCGGCACCAAGATTTCCGTTACAAGGTTAAAATGGTTCCTCTCTCTCTCTCAGGGAAAACCCACAATCTCTCCAGCTCTTGAAACAGCAATTGATTATCAATTGAAAATATTATCAGTTGCCATCAGTTATGGAGGTCCTGTGCTTCTACGCTACAAGGATCAGCTCAAAGAAGCCATCATTTCTGCTTTTGACTGCCCGTCTTGGAAGGTTTTTATATTTCTGTTTGTTATAATTTTTCTCATAATAAGCATAAATTACTGCTATGTTTGTGTATTAATAGTCACTAACTGTTAAATCAATAGGTTAACCGTCTCATTGATTCTCGGTTTTGTTAATTGTTTTGCCAATTGACAGATCAATGGAGCTGGAGATCACCTTCTGCGATCCCTCCTTGGAAGCCTGGTTCTTTATTATCCTATTGATCAGTATAGGTACGTCCACCTCTTCCTCTTCTCATTGATTTTACCTCTTTACTGACACATGATAGATTCACAGAACTATAATAAACAGAATTACAGCTTGTTAAAATAAAATTTCTTGTTTTCTAGGTGTGTTTTGCCACACCCATATGCTGCTGGATTAGAGGAATGGATCAGCACCAAAGATTATTCTGATGATAAACACTTGGCTCCCAAGTGGCATATCCCAAGTGCCGAAGAAGTTCAGTTCGCAAATGAGCTTTTGGACCTTCATCTTCGTTCGGCTCTGGATGATCTTCTTAGAATATGTCAAACTAAAATTCATTCTGATCCAGGTAGTTCCTCACTGGTACTTCCTGGAAAGTTTCTATGGAACCATCATTAAAAATAAAACAATCTCTGTTTCCATATGTGGATACAAATAAATACATGGATTTGTATTCACTGTGTCTTACCTAACAATCCATGTAATTTTGTTGCCCAGGAGATGAGAAAGATCACTTGAAAGTGACCCTTTTGCGCATAGATTCTTCGTTGCAAGGTGTTTTGTCTTGCTTGCCGGATTTCATTCCAACCTCTAAAAATGGCACAGTTGAAGATCTGGGGAATGCTTTTTTAATAGCTGGGGCAACTGGTTCAAGTGTTGGCAGCATTGAATTAAGGGAAAAGGCTGCAGAGATTATACATACTGCCTGCAAGTAATATTTTGTTCAAACATCCTTGTCAATTTCGTTGATTCAGTTTAGCTTTTCTGATTTACTGAAGCTTATTAACTATGGGCATTGAACAGATACTTAGTAGAGAAAAAATCGGACGACAGCATCCTGTTGATCCTCATTATTCGTATCATGGATGCTTTGGGAAACTATGGTAATCGTTGCTATCTATAGCTTTGTAGATTGAAATTAACAGAATGTATAGTACAGACCGTGCCTTCTTTTGTCCTGTATTTCCCGTTTAGCATCTAATTCCTTTTGTACCTCTCTCTATAGGAAGTCTGGAGTATGATGAATGGGCAAATCATAGGCAGGCTTGGAAGTTAGAATCTGCCGCTATTATAGAACCTCCAATAAATTTTATTGTCTCATCACATTCTAAAGGAAAAAGAAGGTAAAATATGCGACATTTCCTTTTCATTCATGAACTCTACATATGTATTTTAGCTGTGACACCAAATTACATAACCAAATCCAGGCCTAGGTGGGCACTTATTGACAAAGCATACATGCACAATACATGGAGATCATCACAATCATCATATCATCTATTTCGCACTAGCGGGAATTTCAGTCCGCCGGACCATGTGAATTTGTTGTTGGATGATCTGCTGAATCTCTCTTTGCATAGCTATGAAACTGTTCGTGCGTAAGTCCTGAAATCTTCTTTGGCCTGGTTATATGCTGAAAATGTAATGGAGTGAGAAGTTATCCAACTTAAACACTATTATCATTGAGAATATTTTAAGATTATATATACTATATCTTAAGAATCTTTAGTGTCTTTTTATTTGTGCCTTATTTATTTGTTTTCCATTTATGTGCCCATATATCCAAGGAATACATGCAAAATAGCTTAATGTTGAAACTTTAAGTAGTTAATATTTGGCAAACAAGATGCCATAAATGTTTCAATGTATTTCTTACAAGTGATGAATTTGTTTTATTTATTTATTTATTTTTTGGTTTCTTTAACAGATAAATGTATGCTTGAATGTTCTTTTTGTGCTCGATTTCTAATTTTATGCTTCATTTTGTTATTTCTGTAAAAAGGGCTTAGTGGTTCTAGTATTGTAGTTATTGCTTTTGCTGATTTGATATAAATGTCGTGATATCCAGGCTTGCTGGGAAATCTCTTTTGAAGATGATAAAGAGATGGCCGTCTATGATTTCAAAGTGTGTCGTCACACTCACTGAGAACTTACGGAATACAAACTCACAAGAATATGCGGTTCTAGGCTCTTGTGCAGTCCTTGCCACACAAACAGTTCTCAAGCATGTGACAACGGTAGTGATTCGAAACAAGTTGCATGCTATAAGATATTGAACACATGAAATCTTATGACGTTTATTCTGTGTTCCAGGACCCAAAGGCATTTTCTTCATTTATTCTTGGGATTCTTTCAAGGTAACCTTATCTTAAGAAGTAGTTGTAGATGGGACGACTTTTACTTGTTAAATTGGAAATGTCATTTCATCCGCACCACATCAAAGATGCATAATTACCAATTTTTGGTGATAATGTGATGCTGTTACTGTCATGTCAAATTCTATTATACTGGTTTGTGGGTATTGTGATGTTGTCATTGCTGCCAGTCATTTGGTGCAAAAAGTTGGTCAATAGTTGGCGTTCACCCTCACCCACTTCCTGTATTGCTTGTTTCTACAACGAAACATGATATTTATTCAAGAGCACTGCTATTGATCACCATTGTTGGTAAATCACTGAACCTGTGATAGTAGACTAGAACTATCGCATGGCAAAAAGTAAAATTATTGGGTCCCACACTATTTGGAGTTTTAATGCACTATTAGAAATGGTGGTGGTTAGATCATCAATGGCAATAAATTGCATTTTTCATTATTCAATGTGGTTTTTGCTGAAGGATAAATGATTGGTCTACATTATATCGTATATTTATAACTTTTTTTCCCCCCCCCTTTCTTTCTTGAAGCTCTCATCATGAATCACTGAAATGCCAGAAAGCAATCAATGAGGTAGGACCTTCCACAAGATTTAAGTTTATGATTGTGTTAGAGGAATTTTGATATAAAATGAGTTTGTGCAGCTTTTTGTCAAATACAACATCCACTTCTCTGGAGTATCTAGGAGCATTTTCAGGATGACGAATGACCATTTAGACGGGCAAGATTTTTCAGATTTGGTTTCTCAGATTGGTTCCATGAGTTTTGATTCTATTGGCTTGCATTGGAGGTATACATCTGATTAGTGGCTACCTTTTTGTAGTTGGTGTTGTGCTTTTATTTATTCTCCTTTTTTTTCAGGTACAATCTAATGGCTAATAGAGTTCTACTCCTGTTGGCTATGACATCCAGAAACGACCCAAATTCCTCTTCAAAAATTTTGAGTGAAGCTGCTGGTTGGTTAATACTTTTATCCACGCCTGACTTCCTTTCTCTCTTTTATTTGTCTTGACGCTGTTTATGGCTGAATCGTATCATCAATCATTTTATAGAATATTAATGTTTATGCCTTTCCAGGTCATTTCTTAAAAAATTTAAAAAGTCAACTTCCTCAAACAAGAATCCTTGCCATTTCCGCTTTGAACACACTGTTAAAAGAGTCCCCTTATAAACTCTCAGCTGAAGAACAGACTCTTTCTCTTGGGAATTTGCAAGAAAATAGAAAATCATCCCTTGAAGGAGAATTAACTCAAATTTTTATGGAAGAGGGGTTTTTTAACGAGACTTTGAATAGTCTTTCTCATGTTCATATCACTACAGACGAAAGCGCATCTTCCAGAGGAAATTATGGAAATTCTTCTTTTCAGAGCCTAGCAGATAAATCCATCACTAGATTTTATTTTGATTTTTCTGCTTCTTGGCCACGCACTCCTAGTTGGATATCTTTATTAGGTACTGATAACTTTTACTCAAACTTTGCACGGATTTTTAAGCGGTTAATACAAGAATGTGGCATGCCCGTTTTATTGGCACTTAAAAGCTCATTGGAAGAGTTTGCAATTGCCAAGGAGAGGTCTAAGCAATGCGTTGCTGCGGAAGCATTTGCCGGGGTGTTGCACTCTGATGTAAATGGTCTTGTAGAAGCATGGGACAGCTGGATGATGGTACAGTTGCAAAATATCATTCTAGCACAGTCTGTAGAATCAATACCTGAGTGGGCAGCTTGTATACGTTACGCGGTTACTGGAAAAGGAAAATATGGAACTAAAATTCCTCTTTTGAGGCAGCAAATATTGGATTGTTTAGCCGCACCTTTACCTCCAACAGTAACTACCACTATAGTTGCCAAGCGCTATGCTTTTCTTTCGGCTGCACTTATTGAAGTATCCCCACAGAAGATGCCGGTAACTGAAATACGGCTCCACTTAAAACTTCTGGATGAGCTGCTTGGTAATATGTGTCATTCATCTGCTCAAGTAAGCCTACTTCTTTTTACGTTCTACCAAAGTCCTAATTAAATATTTTCTTCGTGGCAAATATTTATTTGTCTGTTATTAATATATCAAGTATGTGCGTATAAAAGATATTGGAAAACCATAAACTGCTTTCTTCTCTTCTGAGAAAGATTTGGCTGGATTCTCTCTAGAAAATTCTAGTTTGTATATAGCAGCGATTTTGCAAAACACTGACGTACATTAAAGATTCTTTAAATGTCCAGCCAAAATAATAAAAACTCCTCCGATTTCCAGTAAATTTGTGTATCATGTGGCTGCTTTGAAGACAGATCGTTGGTGTAGACTTTTGTTTGAGAAAGGAGGGGAGTAGAAACCTTCATACACTGATTGCAAAATAAAATTTCAGGCCTGTTTGCTCTTATGAAAAAGAGCAGAATAAATGGGAATGATCTTGATTTGCTAAGGTGCCATTTTACAGAATTGACTCTCCTGATGTGACTTCACATATTCCCCTGTTTAAAGAGTTATATAAAAGCAGATTTTGATATTGGAATAAAAGATGCACAAATGTTAGCTGATAGTATGGAGATGGTAGGTATTTGACTAGCCTACGTTTTTGCAGGGTTAACTTGATTATTGTTCTTGATTTAGGATTGTGCAACCTTGAATTTTAACCCAATTCTTGTTTTCCAATAATTGTCTTCTAGAACCGAATCTGTTTTTTGTTTTTTTTGTTTTTTTTGTTTTTGTTTTTGTTTTTAAATCCAAACCATGTTCTAATGTTACTTTGTATGGGACAGGTAAGGGAAGCTATAGGTGTTGCCCTTTCTGTGTTATGCGCCAATATTCAGCTTTATGCATCAGTTTGCCGTGATTACTCAGACGAAGGTGGAAATACAGATCTTGAAAGCCTACTTAAACAGAGAAGCTGGATCAAGTTGCTCAAAGAACGAGCATCGGAAGTGGTAATAAACATTCAGCGTACCAATCAATCGGACAGCTCAGAGACCAAGAGGATTACAAGTCAAAATGGGCATCTGAATGGTGATTCACAAGATGATGCCAAATGGATGGAAACGGTACTTTTTTAAAAGATGAAGTTCTGTTTAATACTTTCCACATTTAAAATCTTTTTATTGATCAGTCTACTTTTATTTTTTGTGAAGCTTTTCCATTTTATCATCTCGTCTCTGAAGTCTGGGAGATCTTCATTTTTGGTCGATGTACTCGTTGGTCTTCTTTATCCTGTAATATCCTTGCAGGTGTGTAAAGTTTCAAAATTTTATTTTGTTTGTAGATCTTTAGTAGTGTTTTTAGTTTGTGTTTGAGGTTCCAATTTTGTTTCACTTCTTGCTAGTGTCTTCCTATTCTTATATCTATATTTTTTTTTTATCACTCTAATCAATTAATCAGAAATACTGAAATAGTTTGTCCAGTTTTTAGCTTCAAGGTCTTAAACCATGACTCTGCTAAATGTGTTTTATTTCTTTAATGATATTTAGACTATTTCGGTTATACAAAATTACAACTAAAAGAAATCTACTGTCAGTGTATGTTGTTTCTTTCTGGGAATCAATGTGTCTCACCTCAGAGATATTATTTACTATATGAAGGAAACATCGAATAAAGATTTGTCAACCTTGGCCAAGGCGGCTTTCGAATTGCTAAAGTGGAGGGTTTTCTGGGAACCTCATCTTCAGGAGGCTCTATCTGTGATTCTTTCTTCAGCCAACGACTCCAACTGGCGAACTAGATCAGCAACGTTGACATTTCTTAGAACTTTCATGTACAGGTATGGTATTTCTTTCAGGGGCTCAACATTTCATCTCTATATTTCATTCTTTGCAATTAAATCCTCTCCGTGTAAAACAATGGGCTGTATAGTATACCTTTGTTTCCAAGCTAACAAAATAAAAAAGGGGAAAGAAAGAAGAAAAGTTCCCAAACTAACTTTCCACTGATTTCCAGTTTACCTTGTAGAACACCCCAAATTCTTAAGTTTCCCCTTTTTATTTTTTTTTTATTTTAAATGTCTTATCTTGAAAAAAAAATGTTGTATGAACTCAATTACAGGCACACCTTTATTCTGTCGAGTGCGGAGAAGCAACAAATCTGGAGAACTGTTGAGAAGCTACTAGTAGACAGCCAAGTTGAGGCAAGTTCATTCCTCTTTGTGAAGTCGTACTCCATCAATGCACGTGTTGTGCAGTAAATTCCTGTTTTTTATGGTTTGTTTAAAATTAGGGCTTTGTGATGCCATCATTAGAAATTTTGATATTCAAGTTTGAATTCTCTTTCTTTATTCTTTTTTTTTTTTTTTTTTTTTTTTTTTTTTTTTTTTTTTTTTTTGTTATTTATCTTGTTTGTGTTGTTTTGTTCAGGGGCTATAGACCCCTGAAATCCTCAACTATGAAATTGCAATTAGTATTATTCAGAGGTAGATTTTCATAGTTACACGTTTATTTTCTGGTTTCAGGTTAGAGAGCATGCTGCGGCAGTTCTAGCAGGCCTAATGAAGGGTGGGGATGAAGATTTAGCAAAGGACTTTCGCAATAAAGCGTATAAGGAAGCAAGTAATCTTCAAAGGAAACGGAAGCAGAGGTTATTTTCTGCCTTTATTCTTCCTTTATATTCATGTCTTATGTGTGGAGCACATATCATTCCTGTAAATGGGGATTCTTTATAAAAGCTTTAAATACATCAGGCTGTTGAGGCAAATTAGGAACCTAAAAGGTGGGATATGATAAGATTCTTCAAAGCGTTTGACGAATTTCCATTTTCTTTGATTGTTTTGGATTGAAAGATGAAATGCGGTGATTGGTTGTTATGAGTTTTTGGGCGGTTTCTCGTAGTTTTCTTGATCTTTAATCATATCAGTTTTGTTTTGCTTCCTTAGGACTTCATGCCCTCTTTTCTTTGTACTAATTTCAGCGTTAATAAAGGAAGTTCTTATTGAAAAAATAAATAAAATCCCTTACCAATTCTAAGGCCCCCCTCTATTTCTTTATTTTTTTGCGGGTTCAGTCCTTCAAAAAAGGAATTTGCATTGAAGAGTGATATTGTTATTTTTTACCTTTGTTTATTTAAATGAAATTCGTTGAATATGTGAATGTAAACTGTGCAAGTAGACTAAAAGGGTGGTTTAATTTCTGAGCGCAGAAAGTTCAGTTCAAGTCAGTCAATAGCTTCCACACATGGTGCTGTTCTTGCATTGGCAGCTTGTGTGTTATCCGCTCCTTATGACATGCCCAGGTTTGTTGTTACTCAATACAAGCAATCAATTTCGTGTGTTCGTATGTGTCCTTTTTCTTGTGTAATCTCATAAGCAAACTTTCGTGTTTTCTCAGTTGGTTGCCGGAGCACGTTACGTTACTAGCTCGATTTGTTGGGGAGGTATCCCCTGTAAAATCTACAGTTACAAAAGCGGTTGCGGAGTTCCGGCGAACCCATGCAGATACATGGAATATTCAGAAAGATTCTTTTACTGAAGAGCAACTTGAGGTAGTTTCTTTTAATTGATTTTGCTTTTTTTTGTTTTCGTTTTTTGTTTTTTGTTTTTTGTTTTTTTGTTTTTGCTTTTTTGCTGAAGGATTTTATCTTCTTTTGTTGGTGCTTGCAGGTTCTTGCCGATACGTCCTCATCATCATCATACTTTGCTTAATTTAAAATATTATTTGTAGCGATTGAATAGTTTTTATATGCAAAGCATTTGTAGTGATTGAATAGTTATGTTTGTTAACATTGATTGAAACTGAGCAAGAAATAATGCAACAAATTTTTTTCCCCCGCATTTTCATAGTTCATAGAAATGAGCTTTATTTACACTTTCAAGTTTATCACTGCTAGTTTATTTTCCTAGGTGGAAGTAATCCTTGCCTATGATCTCTCCTTTTTCGTATAAATAAATTTCTGTTAGACTATTGGATGCATTAGTTCATCCGAAGGTAAATCCCACAAGTCACTATCCGAGTTGAATACGATAGGCTCGTTTCTAATCTCTTTCCCAGCCCGGGACTCCCCTCCGTTTTCTTCTTTCTCTGGCAAGCGGCCTTGTCGATCTCCTACCGTGCACGTGCTTCCGGTACACATACTCTGGTTCCATGGTGATCCATCCCGTTCGTTGCTAAAAGTCAATGGCTCGTACTGAAATCCAGAAACAGGAAAGGAGAAAGCACTACAGTTGCCGGAAAGATTTGAAAATGTGGGTCCGGCAGAGTCCCAAAGTTTGTTCATGGGCAGCAACACATCAGGCTCTTGAATTGCCCTCGACAGACCGAGTTTGATCTTCTCTATTGTGTCATCGTCATGCTCTTCCTGCTTACCATTGATGTAAGTGGCTGCAGCGTTCCCTATTGCCGCGTTAGATTGCTGCAGCTGAAAGTCTACCCGACGTTTGGTGAGGAGATGGAGCATTTCGTCTTTGAAGCAGCCGAGTGCTGCCTCTGCAAGGTGAGCCACCTGGGGGGGTTCCAGCGTGGTTGCAATCTCTGCCATGAGATGTGAAAACGGTTTGTGAGTAACAGGATCAATTCCCATGCCCGAGAGCTTCTTTTTCAGCTTAGTATTCCAATGGTTCTTCACGTCATTGTCCGTGCGGCCGGGCAGCTGGGCTGCAATTATGGACCATCTGTGACATTCATTAAGAATATTGGTTAAAACTACTCAAATAGAGGCAAGAAAATACAAAATCCAATCCATGTGAATAATGGAGGTGACTGAACCAGGAACCAAAAGTAGTGCACCTGTTGCCAACAATGGAGTGAAGCTTGACAATGGTTTGCTCTTCTGCGTCGGAGAACTGACCGTGCTTGAGGTCCGGCCGTAGGTAGTTAGTCCAACGAAGCCTGCAACTCTTCCCGCATCTTTGAAGACCTTTGTTTGTGTATAAACGAAGGAAATAAGGAAGATCAATTCTAATCTTCATTACAAGCACATGTTACATTACATTAAGGGAAAAAGCAAATGAAAAGGAAAAAGAAAAAAAAATACCGGCATTCTTAGGGATGAGGCGCCAATTGCGAGTGCCGTGCTGCGCAATATAAGAAGAGAGCTTGTTATCCTCTTCTGGCGTCCATTGTCCTCTCTTCACATTGTCCTTCTCGCAACAAGGAATCCGACCCATCTATCTAATCGCTCGTTTTAATAAAAACCAATACTAATAACTAGAGCAAAAAAGAAAAGCAAAGAAAAGAAAGCTAAGGTCTAAACTAAAGGGTCCATTAAAGGATACTTTTGTTAATCTCTCCTTTGTGTTATAAGAAAGTAAATAAAAAGAGATGAGAAATTTGTTGTTTTGAGGTAGTTTTTCCTTTTGTCTTGTGAGCAATTCTTATAAAAGGAGTGAGTGGCAAAGTGTGTACGGATGCATATAGAGAAAAGGGGGCATCAAAGGTGCATGATTTTATTAAAGAATTCAACGCTGTAGAGCGTGTGATTAATAAGCAGTTAGCTCACCCACAAGATGCTTGGTCAACTCTCTCTCTCTCTCTCTCTCTCTCTCTCTCTCTCTTATTGACCTTAGTTTTGTGTGTGCATATTTGGTTTGTATTGAACTACCTTAAGGAATAAGGAGTGGCAGCACTGATGGTTTTTGAGTTGCAAAAGTTAAGGTTTGGTTGTTGCCCGTGCGGGTTACACGCATGTCTAATCTCACTATTATTCTCATTGTTGCCCCTTTTTAATAAACAATTTTTCTTTTATCCCTTTGTCAGTGCTACTAATTGAATTGCCATTTTGTCATGGTGCTACATTTTGTTGTTTGCTTGCTATGACCAATTGACCATCATGGCTGCATCCATATAAAAATATAGCTTACGCCATTTAAAAATTGTGTTACAAGTGCACGACCAATTATCATCAAAGTTGTGTCCAAGTTGAGGCACTCTTTTCAAATAATGTTAATAGAGTACCTGTGGTGCTAAGCACCATGACTAATATAAGGTGGATCTTCATAAGTAAGGTCGACCTTCTATTAGTAGTGATACTTAAGACCAATTCTATATTGTTTTCTACCTGTGGTGCTAAGCACCATGACTAATATAAGGTGGATCTTCATAAGTGAGGTCGACCTTCTATTAGTAGTGATACTTAAGACCAATTCTATATTGTTTTTTTGCTACGACCTTCATGGTTTTATCTACATATGTTGTTCTGGGATAAATTTGTTCTAATATATAAGATAAATTCTATGTCTTAACACTAGTTATAAAGTCCCTTTTTTTTCCCCTTTAAATTTGAGAGTTGAAAGATTTGAACTCTGTACTTTATGGAGTCGGGTGTGGTATCACTAAGCTATGTCTCCACCACCAGCAGATTAATTTCTATTTCATTTAAATGGTTAAGTATCACTTGAGGGACTGGTCCTCTAGACTTTAGAGCCTTCCGCATATAATATGGACACACACACATCATTTGTACGCATACATATTTATACGAACACATTTAAAAAAAAAAAAAAAAAAAAAAAAAAACTAACTATCAACACTCCACCTAAATCAACACTAGTTGGTTTTGATTTTTTCCCCCCTTTAAATCAGAATTTCCCATGATTAATCATCTTACCATGAGCATCCAAAATGGTTTTCAGGTTTTGGCTATTCCCAAGTCATTCCTTGCCTTTTGACCACATTGGATTATTGTCAGCAAGGAGCATATATATAAATATATATATATATATATATTTATATCATTCTCCTATTGAAAAAAAAGGGTAGAATTAAACAATGTCATCATTTCCATTAAGATACAACCAGCCATAAAATTTGTACTCCAGGAGATAGAAAAACAAAACAAGTCTCTCCCGAGGATTGCTACAATGCTACTTACATATACTTAGTACATCTAAATGAAAATCAAGCTCAACTAGGCAATTATAATTACCCAATTTTCATTGTGTAAAAAAAAAAAAGAAGAATTCTAGCAAAGCTTTATTCATATTATAAATGCAGGGTGGGATCATTTATCATGGAAATATCAAAATGACTCCCTCTCTGCTTCTAAAGGGAATAAAAATGTCCCTTCTCAACTTAGCTTTGCACTAACAAGTCCTTGGATGGAACCGATCAAGGCGAACACTGTGACAAGCAGGAAAATGCCGCTGAGAATCCGAAGCATCACCCACTTTGGTGTCCATGATTGGACATTCGTCTGCTTCAAGTACATCTCGATCGGGAAATATATGGTCAAAGGCCAAAAATTCATGCCCCCTAACACCCCAAGAATTTGGTTGAAGTAAGGGAAGGCCATTGCAATTGCTGTTGTTGACACAACATAAGCTGTTCGGAAACACAGCCTGAGGGGATTCAATCTGAAGGTCCCCAATGGCGGGATCTTTAGCTCGTAGTTGTTGTTTACAAATCCGCTGTAGGGGAGACACTCAGACAACCATTTTTCTACGCCCGCAAACAGCGGTTGACTGTATATCTGCCAACCGAAACATTTGCAAAAGCAAAATATTTATTCATGAGCCATTCTCTAAATTGAAATTACAAACAAACTCGGTAATATTATGATCTCCATCATTTGGAATCTTTTATTTATGTTTTCCTCGAGCTTCAATAGGACTAGGATTCCTATTTCCCTTCCACTTTTTAGGTTACTGGAAAATTTGGCTTTGTTCCTATTACAAGCTTATATTTGAGAATTGAAAATTTTGGCTAATGAAAAATTATGGTAAAGTTGTACTGATCTTGTAGTAATTAGTACCTGATAACCTCCGACAAGATGAAGCACAATGCAAACATTGGCCAAGTCAACGAGCCAATAAGGCTCATACGACCCAAATGCGGTCATGAGGTTCCCTGGAGTGGCATCTCCAAAGGCCGCATATCCAAAACCTCCACAGAAAAGGTAGAAGAAAGTTGTAATGGTGATAGATATTGCAGACGCCTTCTTCATAGTCTCGCTTTCTGATGGTGGTGCCTCCAAAGTATCCTTCAAATTTTGCAAATACTGTCATCCTTTGTACAACGAGAATAACATGTAATAAAATAATTAAACAGATAACATCCTAATTGCCACTTAAGGCTAGCTCAAGTGGTTGGGTGCGCGAGTGTGTGCTAGCTCAAGTGGTAGTTCGATTTCTTCTTAATGAAAGGGGGAGCCATAGGTCCCATACCATATATATATATACATATATAAAAGAATAAATCCTAATCCTACTAATAGCATACGATAAAGAAGGCCAATGAATTGCTGTTTTCTTATCTGGTTTGGAAGTGTCATACCTGAATCTCAAAGAGAATCAAGGAGAACGGATAGGAAAATGCAATGTCTCCAAGCGCTTGAGATACCAACCATACTTTCTGACCTGCATTTGGAGTTGGAATTCCGCTTATGCTGCCCTGTGCATAACCGGTACCTTCATTGCAATGACAAGAAACACATAATATTAGAATGATTTGATCAGTTCACTGCAGATTTCGGTTATAAGAAGAACATTCTAGCATATACTCGAATAATAGCGTACCTATAACTTTCACGGCTGCAAGTCCCAATCCAACGAGTGCATAAGTGAAAGACATGATTGCAGCAACAACAGAAAGCCATTGTATGTTATGAAAATTCGGTATTTGGGAGAGTATAATCTGAGCAACTCCAAATAGCAGAATGTAATAAGAGTCTCCATATACACATGTCGCTTCGCGGCCTTCTTTGTGATAGCAGTTTGTTTCCTGAATTGCTCTGTAGCCATAGAATAATTTTTAGGAGCCTTTTTTTTTTTTTTTTTGGCCAAAATTAAAACCAGTATACTAGAAGAGAACAAGGAGTCCTCGGAATTACGAATGAAATAAAAACAAAGAACAAACAGACCATCAATGCATAATAAACCTAACACCAAATTAACATGCACTTTGATTAATACTAGTCATTCCACAACTATCCTCCACAAATCAAATTGTACATTTTCTATACATTTATTATAAGACAGCCACAGAACAACTATTCTTGCATGTTTTCTTTATATTATCGTGTTCTTCAAGCCGAACTGAGGGTGGAAAATACTTAAAAGAATATAAAAGCATACCTCATACTAATACCAGAAGTGACGGTATAAGCAATACCGAACCCGTACAAGCTCAATTGCAGAAGAAGGCCACATGCTAAGGCTTTCTTTTTTCCTGAAATTCACATGCCATAGCCTAAGGTATTAAATAATTTTTCCACCAGAAATGAAAAGGGAAAACAAAGAAACAAGAGACTCATAAAGTCCAAACTCCCAATAACCACAAATTGGTGATATATTCCTATATGAACTTATATGGTGTACGGATTCTCTATTAGTACATAATCATAGCAGAACAAGAAAGAGAAAAATATGCAAATTTAACGGAACCTGATAAAAATCTAACACTTCATAGCTACGAAGTATCGGTAGTCATGTGCGTTTTTAAAAAGAGCAGACACATGATTGGTTACCTAAATTCATATCAACAGCTTCAATGTAGGAGCGATTCCGAAAAGGCCCGGTTTCGGGGTCAGGGGAGCGGTAGCAGTTGCAGAGGAGAAAAGCCGAGAAAAGAGTAGTGATGGCGAAGGAAAGCATTGCCACGGGGCCTGCAATCCAGCCCAACTGAGCCATACACCATGAGAGTGAAAGTACTCCTGATCCTATCACTCCTGTTATGATATGTGCCACTGCTGTCCATACATTCCCTGCACAATTCAACAAAATATTCATCAAAACATGAAACTTATTTAATTAAGAAAAAAAAAAGATTAGGAAACTAGTGTTTTGCATTACAAACTAAAAAAAAAAAAAAAAAAGATTAAACCGTTCTTGGAAAAATAAGTGTTTTATATTTCTCTATAGTCCAATACATGATTAAATCATTCTAAGGAATTTTTGTTTTCCTTTTTTCTGAATAAACAAACATTATTAAGAAAGAAAAAGATGAAGAAAAGGATCTTACAATCCTAAAGCATAAAAGTCCCAAAATTCAAAAGAAAAACAACATGTATGATAAAAAAATAAAGCTTAAACCATTTTGGAAAAAAAAAAATATTAAAACCAGGCATTTTAAGTTTGAGACAAGATTTCTAATTAATGAAGTTTAAGGGCTGTCTCAATTATCTCTCAAACAAAAAAAGAAAATCTTTCAAAAAAAGTGTATTTATATACAGCTTAAAATTAAAAAAAAAATGAAATGGGGTGACTTAGATGATGTAGATTATGAGGCAAAACAATAACGTTAGTATTGCATATTTTCTTACACATCAAATTTATAAGGACAAAAAAAAAAAAAAAAAAACCCCCAGATGCTAAATTTCATATTTTCATGTAATGGGAACTTCTGAAAACATTAAAGAAAAAAAAAATGAAACAGGGGAACTTAGAGTCTTAGATGATGTAGATAGATTATCAGGCGCAAAACAATGACGTTTGTAATGCATATTTTCTTGAGAAAATCATAATACATCAAAATTATAACGCAAAAAAAAGAAAAGGAAAAAAAATCCCAGATGCTAAATATCAATGAAATGTGGATTCTGGAAACGAAAAAAGTAAAAAATAAAAAAATAAAAAAAATAAGAAGAAAAATGGAAGTAAAAAAGAAATTGAATATCAGGCAATGGGAGAACATTCATACCAGTTCTAGAGAGAGGAAGTTCTGGGAATTGTTTGTCCAATAATGGAGTTTTCTGATGATTAGCTCTTATATCTCCCATGGCTCCTTTCTGAGATTTCTGTTTTCTAAAAGCTGAACCAAACAACACTTTATAATATAAAACTGCTTTTCTGTGAATGAAGAATAAAATGTAACATTCACTTCTTCAAAAAAAAAATGAAAAACGAAAAAAGAGCTCGAATTTATAGTTGGAAAAATGGAATGGAATGGAATGTGGGATAACGACAAAGAACAACAACAGAAACCGGCCAGTTTACGTGTTTCTGATGGATTGGAACTTTGTTCTGGAAATATCTATCTATATATCTATATATCATTCATAGATTTGTAGATAGATTGGATGAACTAGTGCAAGTGTTGTTTGAAGAAAGGTCTTGACATTGGGTCTTGACATTTTTTTTTTTTTTTTTTTTTTTTTTTTTTTTTTTTTTTTTTTTCAGTTGTATTAGTTTGGGGTTCAAAGTACACATCATTACGTTTTACCTTTTTAGCACTTTTGCCCTCTAATTCTTAAGAATTTGACAATTTGCCCTCAAATTCTTAGGATTTTGACAATTTACCCCTGATTCTTTAATTTTAATATTTTACCCTCTCTCGCAACTTGTAAAATTGTTACCATTTTACTAACGGATCATAGACCTTTTCCTCGAATGTTGCCGCAACACGCTCATCAGATTATTGGTTTTCCTAAGTTTGCTTATACTAGATTAGAATCCATAAAAACTAGTTATTGAAAACTATTTAGGATCTAAAAGCACACATGTAGGTCTCGTTCATTTTACCGATTCGAGTTTTGTTATAGTAAAAAGCTAATTGAAACAGTCACATATAACATTTTTGTTGCAACAAAAAACTTTCATATAAAGTTACATCTCAACTCGAATTAAAAATTTAAATCAGTAAATTAAACGAGCCTGTAATAAAAAAAATATATAAATCTCAATTTAAACCCCAACACGTATAACTCAAATCTCCAAATTAGGCCAAAATTCGATCCAAAAATAGTAAAATTGGAGTGCATTGCAGCGGTTTTGAAACTTAAAATGAGAAAATGTCAAAATTAAAAATTTAAAGGTAAGTCATCAAGAGTCAAAAAAATCAAGGGGCCCTTATATTTAACTTGGGTTTAGCACTTGTGTCCACTGACTTCTCATGATTTGACACTATTATTTTTGGTAATTTAGTCATCAAATTGACAAGAAAATTAAAGTAGTTAACACTAATTGCTAATGTATTTACATAATTTCAGGTCAAACAATTCATGTGCCTCCTCTAAACTTTTCATACTTTGGGACTTTTGTCAATAAACCACTATTCTTTGGTAATGATTTTAGTTCCTGAAATAGTTTCGGTACTTTTAAAATTCAACTCTGGCTCACGGTGGGGTTGTTCGGTTTACCAGTTTACTTGAGAAAGCCCACTCGAGTTAAGAAATAAAGCCCAAGTTGTAGTTCGGTTGTGCAAAACTCGAAATGGAACTCAAAATTTTTTTCGAGTAAATACCCAGTTTTTGAGTTCACCTTCCCCTTGCCACTTGAGTTATTTCTCTGCACTTCTACAGTGCAGATTCCTGCACTTCCCGTTGCAAGCTTTGTTGCTTTCTTCAGCTTTTCTACATTGTAAATTCACGTGGTTCTCCTGTATCCTTGATTCGAAATCGAATGACCCAACGGGTCTGCTCCTCCAACGTTCATCGATTTCTGAAGCCCTCAATCCATTGCCCTATTTTTCCCCAATCTCCGGATTTCGAATCCGCCGCAGACACTATCGACCCCCCTTCCACATGTACCGTGACCCCCTTCCTCTACCATTGTCGTCTACTGTTACCCCTTCAAAATGGGGAAATTTGTTGGGACAACGTTGGTGCGGCGACCTAGGTGGGTAAACCTCCTCCTTTGATGTAGAGGCTATGGTGCACCCCGTAAAACTGTCCAGCCGAGACGTCAATCCTACTTCCCTTACCTCTGTCGTCGCCGGTACCTCAGACTTGCTATCCCTTCCTCGCATTTGGGGAATCTCCAAGGGAACCACATCTCCTCCTCCATAGGCTTGAATTCGGTAAGTTTTTTCCAAAACCTTATGTTCAGTTTATGGAAAATATTTGTGGTGGTTTCTAGATCCAAATCCGAGCACTAGTATTGGTGAATTCACATGTTCTTCTGCTGGCAAAAAAAAAAAAAAACATTTGTAGTTAAATTTTTTGGTGATTTCCGCCTCTAGATTTCATCGGATCACTTGTATTTTGGAACCCTTTTTTGTTAGTTTCTGAAAAAAAACCAACATGTTCTTCTAGATGGCATCTCCGTGAACCTACGTTGGCATTTCTGGTGATTTTTTCATGTGCTTTCAACCTCTATAGTTCATCGGGCACTAGTATGTTGGACCCCTTTTTTGTAGTTTTTGGAAAAAAAACTTAAACTGTTTCCAGTGATTTCTCTTCTAGATTGCATTCAGATAGCAGTTCACCCGCTGCCATTTTTGGCTATGTTCGTATTGTAAAAGAATTGAATAAAATTGTAGGAGGAGAAAAAAAGATATTCACTATTCACAACTCAAGTTTTATCACAAACAAACACAAACTCAAAAAATTCTTAACTCAAACAATAACTCAAGTATACACAACTAAACGCAAACTCAAGTTACAACTTAAACTCAAGTTATAACTCAAATTCAACTCAAACTCAACTCAAAAACTTAACTAAAAAATACTTATAAAAGAACAAGCCCTTTAGTTCCTGAAATAGTTTCGGTATTTTTAAAATTCAACTCTGGCTCACGGTGGGAGTGATTGCAATTTTTATAAAAGCTCAGGGACTAAACTAACAAGAAAACAACTTAGGATGGAAGAGCCAAATCTTGTCAGGGACGTAATGGCTAAAACTCAAAGATCAAAGGTCTTCTAAAAGTTAAATTAATAAAGACGTGTTTAGTTCGTTAATTTAAAATTTTAATTTAAATTAAAATATAATTTTATGTGAAAATTTTTATTGTAATAAAAAAATTTAACATAAAATTTTTTTAAGAATTTTATACTGTAATTAAATTTAAATAAGTAAAATTAACAACTTAAATAGTTGCACGTTTAAAGGAATGAAATTCTCCACGTGTCGCAACTTTTAATGAGAGTTTAAGGGGAGAGAGAGAGATTTCCAACTGTATACAACTTGAGTACGTCTCTCTTGGCCCACTCTTCACCACAAAAAAAGGTCAAAAGTTATAAAAGAGAGAGAGATTTCGTGAAACATGAGATTGTTGACATGGGGTTACAAGCCAAAAAAAAAAAAAAAAAAACAAATTGAATTAGTAAAAAACAAGGAAAAAAACCTGTTGACATTTGGTTCTTGGCCTAAAAGAATAATTAATTAATAGAAAATAGTAAGAAATAGGACAATATGAAAAGTTTAAAAAAGTATATAAATCAATTTTTAGTTATAGAAATTAATAGGTCATAATTTGTTAAGTTATGGTTCATAACCAGATAAATTATGGACAAACTTGTTAAGTTATGGTTCATAACCAGATAAGTTATGGACAAAAATCGGGAATAATTTGTCAAGTTATAGTTCATAACCAGACAAGTTATGGACGAAATAGTAATTTAGCCTATTTATTAACTTATGTAAACTATTGACCTATTAATTTTAATTAATTTCAAATCTTGGCCTATTTCTCTCTTTCTCTCTTAATTAATTTCGTGAAAAAATAGACTGTTGATATTTGGTGTTCCTGGCCTAAAAAAGGAAAAAAAAATACGGAAAGAAATAAATTGGTATATATTGGCTGTCGTTTCTTTTTTTTTTTTTTTTTTTTTTTCTTTTTGGGCTGGGGGGTAAAAAATACGGAAAGAAATAAATTGGTATATATTGGCTGTCGTTTCTTTTCTTTTTTTTTTTTTTTTTTTTTTTGGGCTGGGGGGGGGGGGGCTTGGCTTAGACAAAAAAACGGAAAGAATTGGTATTTATTGGCTGTCGTTTTTTCTTTTTTGGTTGGTACCACGTAATTGCATTATTTGCATGCACGTTTTTTGTTTTTTTTGTTTTTTTGTTTTCCCTCTCTTTTTGGGAGGAAATAATGGTTTTATGAGTTAGGGGTCAATACGTGAGTGAAACATAGAAAACATGCCGAAATTTGAACATGCGTATTACGTTTTTGGAAAATAACGGCTTTCCTTATTTATTGATTGATGAATATACATATGAATTACACATTACTAACTTACTCAAACCCAAAAAAAAATCTTCCTAAACGAGATTTTTTTTGTTTGAAAATTGTTATATATAAATCGAAACTAAGGTAATTATATATAAAATGTCAACTTTCCTTAATATGTTAAATTTACTAATTTAAAAATAGTTTCCTTTTATAAGTAAAAAAAAAATTATCTTTTTTACTGAGATTGTTACATTTGTAAATTTCGTTTTCTTGTTCAGAATCATGGAAGTGCAATGAGATAGATTCATGGCCGTTTTTATTTTGATTGATGTCTTTTGTTCAGATCTTCATCGTGGCATTTTTTTTAAAGGTTATTTTCGTTTTTTCATGTCATTTATTTGTCGTTTTATTTTGTTCAATATCGTTTCTTTGTCTATCATCGTTTATCGAGTTTTTAATCACATTAATCCTAATGTCGGTTTTTCCTTTTCTTTTTTTTTTTTTTTTTTTTTTTTTTTTTTTTTTTTTTTTTTTGTCACTTAGATATTTTAGGGATAAGGGATATTGATATAAATCTCTCTTGTGCTTTAAAGATTACTGTTTATATTTTTCTAATCAAACATTATCAACCCAATGTATTCTTGTAATCACAGAAAATATATTCCTCAAGTAGATTTAATTAAAACGGACTAGAAAAAAAAAAGCAAAAAACCTTATTTGCCCTATATAAAAGAAACGGTGGGTTTGATACTTAATTTGGTTTTAAGTACAACAACATTGTTTAGTATAAAAAAATTTAAAAGAAATAAATTACTCTCAAATGCTCAAAAAATTTAAGATCAAAGTTATTATCTTCGGAATTTCTCTCTACTAATTAGTAACTATCATTTCATTTATTAAGATTTATGATGTGTTTTTGCATAGATAATTTTTGTTAAATATGACGTCAGGGTGATTTATGTGATTATGGGGGAAAAAAAACCAAGGATGAAGGATGTCTCTGATTAAAAAAATAAAAGGGATAATCTCAAAATTTATCCAGACAATATAATATATATTATCTTTGTAATTTGTTTACATTATTGACGTTTTGTTTTTCATTTTTTTAGGTCATTGTTGTTATGATTATTTATATTAGTGTCATTTTCTAATCGTCGTCATTTTATCAATTGAGATCGTTTTTCGACAAATCATCTTATTGTCGTTTTTGAGGATGTAGTGGTATTTTAGTTTCATGTCGTTTATTGAGATTTTTGTCCCTTATCGTGTGGTTTCTTAGGCCTCGTTCAGTTTACCCATTTGAGTTTTCAATTCGAGTTGCGATGAGACTTTATGTTAGTGTAACGATCTGAAGAATTTAACATGTTTAATTATGTTAATTGTGAATTATTAGTGTGCTTAATTTAATTTTCTTAATAAATCAAGAAATTTTAAATTATTTTTAGTATTTATAATTTCACCCTGAAAGTATGTGAGAATACGTACTTCCACCATTTTCTTTTAACTATCTGTTAACACTTATTCTTTCTTTATATTTCTTTTTCTTCTTTCTTTCTTTCATTTTTCTCTCTTTCTTTCGTGACCCTCACTCTCTCCCTCTCTTTCTCTCATTTTCTCTCCCTCTTCTCAATCACT